GGGAGCGTCTCTGAGGTGCGGCCTCTGAGAAGAGCTTCTCTGCGAGGGGCCTAATTGAGTAGAGCCTTTCTGAGAGGAGACTTTCTGATAGGCCTTCTCAGAGTGGCTTCTCGCAGAGAAGCAGAGAAGGAGTGGGAGGAAGACAACGAGAGAGAGAGAGAGAGACATAGTCATATAGAGAGATAGAGGGAGAGAGAGAGAGAGATAACAACAATAAACACATATATATATAGATATATAGATAGAGAGAGAGAGAGAGAGAAAAAAAAAGAGAGAGAGAGAGAGATAGACACAAAGAGGTGACATTGAGGTTTTACAAAACGGGGGATTCGACTCCTGAACCGTCCACCTTATCCATTCCTCGCGTGCCAACAGATACCAGGAGGTCGATCGCCCGCCCACGTTTCGGCTCCTGGGCTGTGTCTGATGCTCCGGGCTGGTCTCGAGGTGCCCTCCTTGTCCTGGAACTTGCCCCTCGCAGGAGGGTCGCACGCCTCCGCACCAGCAGGCGCGCCCACGGCGTACCCTCGCTTCTCGTGCCTCGGGGTGGCGCAGGGCCGCAGCCAGCGTCTACACGTCGAGGCACTCCAGGAAAGGCATCGCCTTTGGCGCTCCTCGCCTTCGGCAGAAGCCCGGCGGAAGAGGACTCGGTGGCAGGTCCGCTGGCGGAAGCCGACGGGAGCTCGGCGGAAGGCTGCGGGACCGGAAGCGAGACGTGAGCATTGTCGGGTTCATGGCTGCATGAGCTGGACGCACAGTCCATGGAGACGCGGTCGTCCTCGCTGGTCTGGGCGTGGTAATTTTGGAGTCTCCCGGGGCCGGCCTGCTCATCCACAGCGTGCTCCGCCTGCCCTGCCCCACATGTGCACAGTCTGTATGTTTTACATTGAAGTGCCCCCCCCCTCGGGACTCGCACCCGGTTTTTCTCAACCATCCTGTGGTGTCGGGTCCTCGTTTTGAAGAGATGGTCTCCGCGTTCATTCCTTCCCTCGTTCCTTCCTCCTCCCCTCCTCCTCCCTCCTCCTCCTCCTCCTCCTCCTCCTCCTCCTCCTCCTCCTCCTCCTCCCATTCTCCCTCCTCCTTGCGTTTCACCCGCATGCGTCAGCCACCACCCAGTACAGCGTTTCGTGGCCCCACAGGGACTCCACCGAAGGCCCCAGTGGCCCCGTCCGCATGCGTCAGCCACCTCCCAGTACAGCGTTTCGTGGTCCCGTAGGGAGCTCCACCGAAGGCCCCAGTGGGACCGCCCGCATGCGCCAGCCACCACCTAGTACAGCGTTTCGTGGCCACACAGGGAGCTCCACCGATGGTCCCAGTGGCACCGCCCGCATGCGTCAGCCACCACCCAGTACAGCGCTTCGTGGCCCCACAGGGAGCCCCACCGATGGCCCCAGTGGCACCGCCCGCATGCGTCAGCCACCACCCAGCACAGAAGGAGCTCCACCGACAGCCCCAGTGGCACCGCCCGCATGCTTCAGCCACCACCCAGTACAGCGTTTCGTTGCCCCACAGGGAGCTCCACCGAAGGCCCCAGTGGCACCGCCCGCATGCGTCAGCCACCTCCCAGTACAGCGTTTCGTGGTCCCATATGGGGCTTCACCGAAGGCCCCAGTGGGACCGCCCGCATGCGTCAGCCACCACTCAGTACAGCGCTTCGTGGCCCCACAGTGAGCTCCACCGCAGGTCCCGGTGCCACCGCCCGCATACGTCAGCCACCACCCAGCACAGCGTTTCGTGGCCCCATAGGGAGCCCCACCGATGGTCACAGTGGGACCCTCCGCATGCGTCAGCCGCCTCCCAGTACAGCGTTTCGTGGTCCCGTAGGGAGCTCCACCGAAGGCCCCAGTGGCACCGCCCGCATGAGTCAGCCACCACCCAGTACAGCGCTTCGTGGCCCCACAGGGAGCCCCACCGATGGCCCCAGTGGCACCGCCCGCATGCGTCAGCCACCACCCAGCACAGCGTTTCGTGGCCCCACAGTGAGCTCCACCGCAGGTCCTGGTGGCACCGCCCGCATACGTCAGCCGCCACCCAGTACAGCGTTTCGTGGCCCCATAGGGAGCTCCACCGATGGTCCCAGTGGCACCGCCCGCATGCGTCAGCCACCACCCAGTACAGCGTTTCGTTGCCCCACAGGGAGCTCCACCGACGGCCCCAGTGGCACCGCCCGCATGCGTCAGCCTTTCGTGGTCCCATCGGGAGCTCCACCGAAGGTCCCAGTAGGACAGCCCCCATGTGTCAGCCACCACCCAGCACAGCGCTTCGTGGCCCCAAAGGGGGCTCCACCGAAGGCCGTTTCGTGGCCCCGTAGGAAGCTCCACCGACGGGCCCCAGTGGCACCGCCCGCATGCGTCGTCCACCACCCAGTACAGCGTTTCGTGGTCCCGTAGGGAGCTCCACCGAAGGCCCCAGTGGCACCGCCCGCATGCGCCCCCCCACCCAGCACAGCGTTTCGTGGCACCATATGGGGGCTCCACCGAAGCTCCCAGTGGCACCGCCCTGCGCTTCCCTCATCCAGTATAGCGTTTCGTGGCCACATTGGAAGCTCCAGCGAGGGGCACCGCCCGCATGCGTCAGCCGCCACCCGATACAGCGTTTCGTGGCCCCGTACGGGGCTCGACCGAAGGCCTCAGTGGCACTGCCCGCACGCGCCTTCTCCACCTATTTCGGCACGTCCCTCATGCGTTTCGTGGTCCCATGAGGGGGCTCCACCGAAAGCGGCACCCACAACGTGTTGCTCACACCCGCGGCGCCCGGGGTGCCACGGACAACCTCGATCGCGGACAGGCCCGTGAGTTCCCGCGTCGGCAGGGGCAGGGGTGATCGCCGCGCGTCGGCCGGGTGGGCCCGCCACCATCGGGCCTCCGGTGACGTTGGAGTCTGCTGGGGGCCCGAGGTGGTCCAGCACTGGTTCTGGCGGTCAGAGGGGCCGAGCTTGAGGTGCTGGGTTCGGGAAGATGTTTGTTGCCCTTTTGTCGGCCCCCAGGGCCGTTTTCGGGCCCTGGGGCCGTCCAAAGCGGATCTGGGGTGGACATCTGCACCAGATGCACCCTTGGAGGGGTCTGGGGACCGATTTTGAGCGGATCTGGTTTTATCCCCCTCTAGACCGATTTTCTCGGGGCCCATCCAACTCACCCCCTCCAGCCGCCTCCAACACGCAACGGAGCTCAGCGCAAACTGGGCTCAGCGAGAACGTCGGATCCCGATGGTTTTGCTATGGACAGCGTGACGGTCCCACACCAAGAAATCAAGGGACTTCCTGGGGTCTCAGGGCTTGGTTTCTCGTGGAAGGTTTCTTGTGGTCGGGCCCCTACTGTCAATCGGCCGAGCCGGGCTTGCGATGGGCGGGGTTCGTCCGCGCCTGACGCTGCTGCCTGGCACCGGGCCGCTACTGCCGCTTCCAAGCTTGGCGGCTGGCCCTCTGCTCCAGATCCTGGGCTCCGGTGCTCGGGCCGTTCCGCAGATCCTGGGTCGGGAAACCTGTTGAACGCTTGAGCTTGTGAGTCTGAGTCAACATCGCAAAGTCAATGCCCGTGAAGTCTGAATGTTTCAACAGCTTCGTGGATGGATGGCGGTGCATCTTCGAAATCGAGGCTTCGCCATGGGCTTAAGATGCTGAGTCAAAGGTGTTGACACGAGGACCACGTTGGGTTCAGAATGGGCTCCGGTGCTCGGGCCGTTCCGCAGATCCTGGGTCGGGAAACCTGTTCGCGGCCGTGCCTCGCCGTGACCAGCATCTTTCCCCTTCGTTTTCTGCTCGGCAGTCCTTCGGTTAGGGGTTTGAGCAGTGATCCCGCCACAAGATATATGTACAGACACCCTCCCATGGATAGTTCCTGGGCCTCAGGGGAGGGTGGCGGTGTATAAAGCACCACTGGGAGCCAGCGAATCAATGCACCGCCGCTTTCCCTGAAGGTGCATGCAAGATTCGTCGGAGGGTGTCTATGTATATGTTTGGTACAGGGAAAGTTCGTGGGAGGGTGTCTGTGTATGTATATATATGTACACAGATATTCGTGGCGTAGCCACTGCCGCTTCTAAGTTTGGCGGCTGGTCCTCGCCTCCAGCGCGCACGTGCTGGAGTGCTTTTGTTGCTTATCTTTCTTCCTCTGGCGCGTGACGGTCGTTCCCCGCCCCCCTCCCCCCCGGGGGGCCTGGACCCCCCCCCCACATTCTAGTTCGGCGGCGCGCGAGAGGGGGAAACGAGAAAGAGAAGGCCTTCTCAGAATGCGGCGGGACTGGCGTCGGGGCTTCTCAGCAGCCCTCGCGCCTTTGCGAAGTTTTCTGTGTCTTCGGGGAAGGCTTAGAACACTTCTCAGAAGGCCAGGGAACTTCCGAGCCTTCTGAGAAGGCCTTCTCCTTCTCATTTCCCCCCCTCGACCCCTCCCCACATGCTCGTGCTCGTGCGCATACTATGGCGATCGCAGCGCGCCCCGACCCGGACGTGCCCCCCCCCCACACCGCCCAAGATCTACCGTTGCCATGGGCCCCAACCTCCCCCCTCCCAGAGTAACGACTGCTGCCGTAAATTATACAACTCAATCTCTTGTTATCACGTCGAGCTCGAGGGGAGATGGCTCGGGAGGACGAGGAGGAGAATTGGATTCTGTTCCTTGTTTTCGGGCTCCCAGGCCCGTCCTTAACAAACCGAATCAGGATGAAAAGCAGGTTCTGGGGAAGGCCCGCCGGGTCCCGAACCCGTTTCCTCAAGTATCCGCTTTCTTCACGCCATGAGGAAGAGGAGGCTGTTTCCCCCCCGAATGTAAGATGGTTCGGATCGCACCCATCCGCAGTGCAGCGCCGAGGAGGAGGAGGAGGAGGAGGAGGAGGAGGAGGAGGAGGAGGAGGAGGAGGAGGAGCAGGAGCAGGAGCAGGAGCAGGAGCAGGAGCAGGAGCAGGAGCAGGAGCATGAGCAGCAGCAGGAGGAGGAGGACGAGGACCGGGAGTGGTGGCATGGGCCCCGGCGCCGGCTCCGCGGCCCCCGCGGGCTCCGGCCCGAGGTCTACGGCGAAGCACACGCCCCTGGCCCAGGCGTCCGTGGGGAGAGGGAGGGCGCCTCCGCCACCAAGCCAACCGCAGGCCCAGCTCGTGCCCAGAGCTTGGTGGACATCGGCTCTCGGCCAGGCCGGGAGACCGTGGCCATCGGCCGAAGAAGACCGCGCAACTCTAGGCCTCCCAGATGGGGTCGGAGCAGATGGGGTCGGAGGATCGCGCCGCATCGCCGATGCCTCGCCGATGCGGCTCGATGCGGGGCCCGATTTGCTTCACGTCGACGTCGCCGATGCGTCGCCGAGCCGACGTCGCCGGTGCGTCGCCGGTGCATTCCCAATGCATCGCCGATGCATCGGCGATGCGGCGCGATTCTCCGACCCCATCTACTCCGACCCCATCTGGGAGGCCTCTCAGACCGCGCGTCAGTTTGAGCGTGAGCTTTGGAGGTCCGCGCGGACTTCCGAAGGCTTACGTTTGTGGAGAATTCCTTCTTCTGGCCAATCTCTGGGCCGAACACGGGCTTGTGGCGGTTAGTTGTTGGCGGATCTTTTCCGTGCCCTCGCAGGCGATGGAAGACAAGCCCGAAGCTCTGATGGACATCATGGACGCAGAGCTGCACAGTCAGGCACTACCAGCACCTGCCTGGCTCCAGTCAGTCATATACCTTCGTCAGCGGCCAGGCCCATCTTGGGCCTACCCTGTCGCAGCAAAGCCCTCCTCCATTCCTAGTGCAGATGGCCCCTCCTCCTCGCAACGCGAGACGTGTCGGTAAGGCTGTTCGGCCGTTTTTGCTTGAGGTGCCCCCCCCACATAGGTCAATTCCTTTCAGCTTGAGCTTTCCAACAACTGCACGCGCAGAGGATGGACCTCAGGAGGGAAACAAAGCACACACAGACACAATTAATCGTCGACCCCCCAGAAAATATGGGAAAATATGGGACGTGGGGGGGAAGACAAAAACCCAGAAACTATGGGAGAATATGGGGAATCCTTGTATGTGTGTGTGTATTTATTTGCGTGTCCCAGGGCCGCTTCAGGACCCTTTGCAGAAGCATGCTCGTGGCTGAGGCGTAGGCAACCTCCGTTGCCCAGGAGCTGGAATGTTCCAACAACTACGCCGATGGAGGGCGGAACGGTCCTGCACCGTCCATGGCCGTGGTGCGCGACCGAAGCTGGGGTGGGCTTTCGCGGTGCGGCTTCTCCAAGCTTGCTTCCGAGCCTCGCAGACTGTGGACGACTTCCCCGCCCGTCGCTGTGATCCGCGCCTGCGCGTGCCATGGGAGGTAGTTTGAACAGTTGGCTTTCGCGCAGGACTTCTTCAAGAACCAAGATCACCGTTGAACGCTTGAGCTTGTGAGTCTGAGTCAACATCGCAAAGTCAATGCCCGTGAAGTCTGTATGTTTCAACAGCTTCGCGGATGGATGGCGGTGCATCTTCGAAATCGAGGCTTCGCCATGGGCTTAAGATGCTGAGTCAAAGGTGTTGACACGAGGACCACGTTGGGTTCAGGATGGGCTCCGGTGCTCGGGCCGTTCCGCAGATCCTGGGTCGGGAAACCTGTTCGTGGCCGTGCCTCGCCGTGACCAGCATCTTTCCCCTTCGTTTTCTGCTCGGCAGTCCTTCTGTTAGGGGTTTGAGCAGTGATCCCGCCACAAGATATATGTACAGACACCCTCCCATGGATAGTTCCTGGGCCTTAGGGGAGGGTGGCGGTGTATAAAGCACCACTGGGAGCCAGCGAATCAATGCACCGCCGCTTTCCCTGAAGGTGCATGCAAGATTCGTCGGGGGGTGTCTATGTATATGTTTTCGTTGCTTATTGGCCCCTTGTTAGCTGCAGCCGTCCAGCTTTCGCGCCGAGGGCCGCTAGAGACCGCTGGAGACCGCCGGAAGCCGCCGACCTCCGTCGGCAGGCCGCCGAGGACCGCCGAGGACCGCTGGGAGACCGCCGAAGACCGCCGAGGACGGTCCGGGAGCGAGGGGTAGCATTCAGTCGGGCCGGTCCCTCCACAGGAGGAATATTCAAGAATAGTAACAAATTAAGCCTGGGGGCTATTTTCTGATTATTTTGGAGCATTCAGGGAGTATTTTTGAGGGTATTTTGCATTTTTCGTCCAAGCTCCCCGTAGGGGGACAGGCCCGACCTAAGGGCAGCAAGGGGTCCACGGTGGAACGCACGACTTCTGGTGGCCCGAGGGGTGCAGGACCTGCCTGCCGGCAGCTGCCAGGCGCCACGCGGCTGCGGGGCGGTTCTCTGAGTAGACCTGCCTCTCGCCTGCGTTCCCGCACGCTCGGTGTCCGCCGCCCGCTCGCTCCGTGCCGCTCTGCCCGTGCCGTGCCCCACGCGAACTCGGCACTGCCCCACGAGCAGCCCGCAGCCCGAAGTCCACATGGTCGGAGGTGGATGGACCTCCTGCCCTGACGCGTCGAGTAAGGGATTGGCCGTTTTCGGTTCGCGAGAGGGCGTCGCGGCCGTCATTTTAGCGGGTCCAGGTCCGTCGGTTCCGGTCCCAGGCCGTTTTCACTAAGGGGAGGTTTACTAAAGGGAGGTCTGTCCACCGCCGACATGAGGCGTTCCCGAAGTGGTCGCGCCTGCGAGTTGCCATCTCTTCCTCGGCGGAAGGTGGTGGAAATAGAGCGAGGGCGGCTCCACCAGCGTAAGCGGAAGGGCAGCGGAGTCTGGCGGAAATAAAAGGTGCGCTCCCAAGAGATGGCGGCACTTTTGCGTTGAGGGCTTCTGGAACTGGCCGCAGGGCACGTTGGGTGGGGCGCTCCAGAGCCTGGCGCAGCTGCTTATCGGCCACGCGCGGAGGGGGGTAGGGGGAGGGGGAAGGCCTCTTTACAGGCGCCCCTGCTTCTCAGAAGGCGCGGGCCCTCTCCGTAGATGCAGGGCCCGCGCCTCCTAAGAGGCAGGGTGCTTCTGAGAAGTCTTCCCCCCTCCCCCTGCCCCGTCTGTGCGGGCCGCCAAGCTTGGGAGCCAGAGAGCCAGCGGTTGCGCGCGTCGCTCTGCCCCCTGCGCCGCCCCTCCCGTGTTCCTCGGGCAGGTGAGCATGCGGGCCGCCCCCAACGAGATCCGGCCCAACCGCTCCATGAAGCGCCTGACGCGCACTACGAAGGTGCTCCGCAAGACGGGCAACTTCTGCTCCACGGATAGTCTGCCGGTCGTTGCTCTCGGCACGCTCCCAAGCGTATCTTGTGTTTTCGTGCGCGCGTGTCTGAATTGATGTATGCATGTGTGTGTGTGCATGTATGTATGTATGTATGTATGTATGTATGTATGTATGTATGTATGTATGTATGTATGTATGTATGCATGCATGCATGCATGCATGCATGCATGCATGCATAAGTGTATATATATATGTAAGTACGTATGCCTGTATGTATGTATATGTC